TCAACATGTTTAAGGTGTACCTTCAGTTCCCACCTCTCAACATGCTTAAGGTGTACCTTCAGCTCCCACCTCAAGCAGGTCGTCAGCGAGAGGAAGGCATAGCTAGGTTTTCCTTTCCTTGTATAGCTCGGTAGGCTTTGTAATAGATAGGGTCTGAATGTATATATGAGATGAAGTTTGAATGAAACTATCTGATTTGTCTTTCAATTCCCTGTTAACGGCGAACTCTAATGACCGAAAAGGAACACCGACCTCCCTGGTAGAGCATCAAATAGATCCACCACGGCCGCGTGCCGACCTCTTGGGTCGAGCATCTATCGCCCTTTAAGCTAACGACTAAGCTGTCAGGGACACCAAACCATCAAACCATCAGGCTGATCCTGCAGTCGAATTCCAAATAATCGGAGTGACGCGCCGACCTCCTGGGCCGAACACAAAACCTCTAGGCTTCAAGCTACGCCGACCTCTTGGGTCGAACGTCAAACCTGATCTACTGAAGCGGCGTGCCGGACTCTTGGGTCGAGCATCGAGCCCTAAGGTTTTTGAGCTGCGCCGACCTCCTGGGTCGAGCGGCAGAATCTAAGGGTTTATGCCCTGCCGACCTCTTGGGTCGGGCATCAATTCTCAGACTTTGAGGGCTTTCCGTCGATTCATTATTTCGATTTGTCCCCTTGCCACCGACCTCCCGGGTCGAGCGTCAAAATCCTGAAGATAATCATGCCGACCTCTTGGGTCGAGCCCCAACTTTAAAGGCAGTCAGTTCATTATCTCCGTCAATTCATTATCTCGGTCATATCACCCCCGAGCCCCCCACTAGGACACTTAGGATTATCTGAGTGTGCTAGTGCAGAAGTGAGAAGTTTAATAATAACGAGAAGGGACTTAAAACTTGGAAAGCCAACATTTATTCAATGATGAACTTGTACGAGGATTCCAAAAAATACAGTAAAATACCCTGGACTAGCTTATCCTACGAACAACCGCAAATTTGAGAAGTGCCAAGTGCGGGGTACCTCTGCTCCGTCTAATCTCGTAAGCCTACAGTACCCAGTCCGGCTTGTCTCTAAGACCTTATATGGCCCCTCCCAGTTCGGGTCAAGCTTGTTGGAGCTATGAGCTCGGCTGACTGAGTTCTTTCTTAGGACGAGATCTCCTGGCTGGTACTGCGTACTCCTCACCCTTGCGTTGTGGTAGCGGGTGAGCTGGCTTTTATACTTAGCCATTCGTATCGCCGCTTCCTCACGCTTGGCCTCCAGCAGGTCCAAGTTGCACTTCAGCTCCTCCTTATTGGCTGTCGCAACGAAGTTTTGTGTCCGAAGCGAGGGGAGGCCGATCCCTGCGGGCACCACCGCCTCCGTCCCATAGGTCAGGGAAAACGGAGTCTCTTGGGTGGCTGTCCTCGGCGTAGTGCGGTAAGCCCAGAGGACGCTAGGGAGTTCATCTACCCAGTTAGATTGGGCTAGTTCCAACCTAGTCTTTAGCCCCTGCAGAATGGTTCGGTTAACATTCTCCACCTGACCGTTGGCCTGGGGGTACCCGACCGAGGTGAAGTGTTGGCTGATCCCGAGCTCAGCGCACCAGCTTTTGAAGGGATTTTCACCAAACTGTCGCCTGTTATCGGATATCAAGACATGCGGAATCCCGAAACGGCAGACTATGTTCTTCCAGAAAAACTTCTGAATCGCCCTTCCGGAGATCGAGGCCAGGGGTTCGGCCTCCATCCACTTTGTGAAGTAGTCGATGGCCACCACGAGGTGTTCGTACCTTCCAGGAGCTCGGGGGAATGGACCTAGAAGGTCAATCCCCCACTGGGCAAAGGGCCAAGGACTATGGATGGGGACCATCTCTTGAGTGGGTTGATGGCGCAGCGGGGCGTGCACCTGGCAAGCTCGGCATTTCTGAACAAGGGCTGCGGCATCCCGAAACACCGAGGGCCAGTAGTAGCCTAGAAGCAGGCATTTTTAGGCCAACACTCGGGACCCTACGTGTGCCGCACACAGGCCTTCGTGCACTTCTCGGAGGACACAGTCGCCCTCATCGGGGGTTACGCACTTTGCCAGGGAGACACATACGACCTCTGGTAGAGGGTGTTCCCAGCGTAGGGGTATTTAGCAGCTCGGAGTTAGAGTCGGCGAGCCTCGGTTTTATCCTTGGGGAGGACATCCGAGCTGAGGAAGTCCATAAGAGGAGTCATCCAAGTGGCCGGGCTGTCAATGGCCAAGACCCGTACCGGGTCAATGTTTTTTTGTTTGACCACCTCCACCAAAACTTCCATGCTCAGATGGGCGAACGAGGAGGACGCCAGCTTTGATAGGGCATCCGCCAGCTTGTTCTGCGACATTGGCACCCGCTCAATCTCGAAGATGTCGAACAGTTTTATCGCCTCCTGCACTTTGGCCAAATACTTCCTCATGACATCCTCCTTGGCCTCGTACTCCCCGCGGACTTGGTAAACTACAAGCTGAGAGTCACTCCGGATCCTGATCGCGGTTACACCCATCTAGTGGGCTATCCGCAATCCCGTCAATAGGGTCTCGTACTCAGCCTCGTTGTTGGATGCCGGGAAGTCAAACCTAAGTGCGTAGGTCAGCTCCTCCCCGGTGGGCGAGGTGAGTAGCAGGCCGGCTCCGCTTCCTTCCTTACTTGAAGCCCCGTCAACAAATAGTACCCACGGCTCTTCCGGCCGCGCCGCCTCGGGCTTAGAGCTCGGCTCAGACACGGGTAAACTGGTTCCCTCGGCGAGGAAGTCTGCTAGGGCCTGGGCTTTGATAGAGGTGCGAGGCTGATAGCCGATGTCGTGCTCGGCCAGCTCGACGGCCCATTTGGTCATTCTGCCCGAGACTTCAGGTTTCGTGAGTATCTGCCGCAGGGGTTGGTCCGTCAGGACGGTGATGCTGTGGGCCTGGAAGTAAGGTCGAAGCTTCCAGGCGGCGTGCACCAAAGCGAGGACCAACTTTTCCGCCGGTGTGTACCGCGTCTCCGGCCCTTGTAAGACTCGGCTAACGTAGTATATCGGCCTTTGGACCCCCTCGTCCTCCCGCACCAAAACCGCGCTAACAGTCTCGTTGCAGGCAGACAAGTATAGGAACAGAGTCTCCCCCTGCTCTGGGGCAGTCAAAGCAGGCAGCTCGGCCAAGTATGCTTTCAGGTCGGTGAAGGCTTTCTGGCATTCCTCTGTCCATTGAAAGTCATTTGGCGCTTTCAAGATTCGGAAGAAGGGTAGCCCCCTCACCGCGGAGCGTGAGAGGAATCTATTCAGGGCGGCCATCCTTCCCGCGAGCCGTTAGACCTCCTTGACGCTCTTCGGGGGGGCCATGTCTATGATGGCCTAGAACTTGTCCGGATTGACCCGGATCCCTTCCCGGGAGACCAGGAAGCCCAGAAACTTTCCCGACCTAACCTCGAAAGTACACTTCTTTGGGTTCAGCCGCATCCGGCTTTCCCGCAGAATGTTCAAGATTTCCCTCAGGTCGGGAACGAGCTGCTGATTAGTTCGGCTCTTGACGATCATATCGTCCACGTAGACCTCCATATTCCTGCCGATCTGATTCTGGAACAGCTTGTTGACCAGACGTTGTTAGGTAGCTCCGGCGTTCTTTAGTCCAAACGGCATGGTCCGGTAGCAGTAAGTTCCTTCCTTGGTGATGAAGGAAGTCTTTTCCCGATCCTTCTCGGCCATCTCTATCTGGTGGTATCCCTTGAAAGCGTCCAGGAAACACAAAACGTCAAAACCAACAGTAGCATCTACTAACCTGTCAATCCTCGGCAAGGGGAAGCAGTCCTTCGGGCAGGCTTTATTTAGATCTGTAAAGTCCACGCACATCCTCCAGGACTGGTCCTCCTTCTTCACCAGGACAGGGTTGGCTAGCCAGGTCGGGTAGTATACCTCCAAAATGATTTTAGATTCCAGCAACTTACTGACCTCCTTCCTGATCACTTCATTACTCTCTGGAGCGAAGTTCCTCTTCTTCTGCTTCACTGGCTTGAAGGTGGGATCTATGTTGAGGTGGTGGACGGCCAGGTCAGTCGGAATCCCAGGCATGTCCTCTACTGTCCACGCGAAGACCTGGGCGTACTCCCTTAGTAGAGCCTTCAAGTCATTCTTCCCTTTGGGGGGTAGCGACGCACCGACGCGGAGGACCCGGTCAGGCCTGTCCTCTCTCAGCGGGAACTCTTCAATCTCGTCCTGGGTGCCCGATTGCTGGGCCTCCTCCCCTGGGATGTAAGACTTCAAGCTGGTCGTCTGGGCGACCACCTGCTCATGTCCCCGGAGCACGACCAGGTAGCAAGTTTGGGCCACCTCTGGGTCTCCATGCACCTCAGCTATTCCTCCCGGGGTGGGGAATTTGACGCTGAGATGGAAAGACGACGGGATAGCTCGGATGCGTTCAAGGCGGGCCGTCCCAAGAACACGTTGTACGGGGATGGTTGCTTGACCACCACAAAATTGACGGGGATGGTCCAGTACTTGGGAGCCTGCCCCACCGTAACCATCAGGGTGATCATCCCATCCGGAGTGATGGGCGGTCCGGTAAAGCCCACCAGGGGTGTCCCAACCGGGGTGAGCTGTCCGTCCTCAAAGCCGAGCTCCTTGAACACCCGGTAGAACAGGATGTCCACCTCGCTCCCTTGGTCGACGTACACCTTTTTCACCCGATAATTATTGGTCACGACGTCTATCATGATGGACTCGTGGTTACCAGACGCCAGGGGAACCGCGTCTCTCGGTCCGAAGGTGATCTCCTCGTCCATGCGCAGACGTTTCAGGGAGTCATCCCCCTCGGGGAGAGGTCGCCGGTTCTTCCTGGCTGCATGGCTGTCCCCCCCGTAGGGCCCCCAGCGATGGTGTTTATCACCCCTGCCAGGTTCTGGGTGTCCGGGTCGGGGTAGTCGGCCCGGGGCAAGTCACGGTGCTCAGGGCGGTCGCGACGCTGGGCCTCCCCGAGGTCCCCGCGGTAGGTGCGTCCTGGCCCCTGGCCCGGTCGACCTTGCTGCACGAATCACCCCAAGAAGCCGCGCTGGATCAGATCCTGTATCTCCATTTGCAGGGCCCAGCACCCCTCCGTATCATGCCCAACGTCACGGTGGAAGGCACAGTACCGGTCCTGGTTCCTCTTGTTCCGGGATGTCCCCATCTTAGGTGGCCGCCCCTCTAGGCCCTCCGCCTCCATAACGGCTAGAATTTGGGCTCTGGGCCGAGTTTGGGGGGTGTAGCCTTTTGCTGGAAGCGGCGGCTGAGCGGGGGCTTTATCCTTCGAGAGTCGGTCGAAAACATTCTTCTTGACCGGGCCGTCCCTATGCTCGGGCGGGTTCACCCGTCCTCTTCGATCTCCGAGCTCCCTATCTGATTCTCTCTTCAGGCGACCAGCCTCTTCCGCATTAGCGGCCGCGTGCGCCCTGGTCAAGAGTTCTTCCAGGGTACCGGGGGGCTTCTTGGCGAGCTTGTCGAAGAGCTCCTCCACCCTAAGCCCATTCATGAAGGCGGCCATGACCACCTTCTCGTCTTTGTCCCTGATCTGCAAGCTCTCCGTGTTGAAACGGGTCATGAAACTCCTCAGGGACTCATCCGGTTTCTGCTTGATGGCCATCAGATGAGTCGCGTTTTTAGAGTAAGTCTTCGAGGAGACGAACTACGCGGCAAACTGTTTGGCCAACTCGGCGAAACTCCGGATGGACCCCGGCGTTAGGCCCTGGAACCAGAGCCGGGCCTTCCCCTTCAGAAACATGGGGAAGGTCTTGCAGCGGAGTGCATCCGCGGCGGTTTGCAGACGCATGCGTGTCAGGAAGACCGAGAGTTGGTCTTCCGGGTCGGTCGAGCCGTCGTACAGTTCGATGTTCGGGATTTTGAATCTCCGCGGCAATGGGTAATCTTCTATTTCTCGGGTGAAGGGCGAGGCTGTATAGTTGTCCTCGTACAGCCGCGGCCACAGGATCTGCTCAAGCTCGTCCCGGACAGGCGGCCACTGGGGAGGGTCTCGCGGCCGGCTCTTGATAGATCGGGCGGGGGAGCGCTCAGGCTCGTTCCGAGCGAGCTTCCACGAGGAGGGATTCCTCGGTCGGCCCCCCGCGGTCCGATTGCGAGAATATCTCTCGCTGTCACTGACTACCGAGGCCCGCGGCCGAGGTGGAGTCCGTTGCCGTTTCCTCTTGGGGGGCTGGTCCCGGGACTCATCCTCCGAGGGAACGGGAGGCGATTCATTCTCCTTTCCCTTCGCCTTGGAGGTTTGTGCGCCCCCCGCTTCACCACTCTCCTTTGCCTGTCGGATTATATCCTCCAGCATGGGAAGGTTCTCCGTCACGAAGTGAAAGACCTGCTGTCTCCGTTCCCCTGAAAGGGCTGAGCCCCCAGCGCCCCGAGCCGCCTCGGTCTCCGCTCGCCGGGACCCCTCGCCGGCTCCTGGATCGGTGTTCTCAACTGTTCGCTTAGAACGTGTTCTCGCCATCAACACAACTACTTTTACCTTTCTTCGGTTTCCCACAGACGGCGCCAACTGAAGAAGCACGGAACTTCCCCGGACCGAGCTGAGCTGATGAGCTCGGCTTGCTGATGGAAATAGCGCGTCCTAAGCCTGAAAGACACACAAGAGAGTGAACTAACAGGGGCCCTGAGGTTGTCCCCGAGGGCACTCCGACGGTCAAATTAGTTTTCCGGTGAGTGAGGTTCACGGGAAGTAGAACGGTCGGGAGTAATTGTCCAATAGTGAGCGTACCTTGCGCAGTCACTGTGCGTTACCATTTATACCTGCTTAGGAGTCCGACCTCCGTACGTTTCGGGACTCGCCCAGAATAGCCTCAATCCCGCTCTGAGGGGAGAACAATCCCGACCTATGCGGAATTGTTCTCTGGAGCCCCTTAGAGCCCTAGCGGCGGAGTGCTCGCGGGACAGTTCACATGGGCCCAGGGTCTAAGCCCTGCTCGGAACTCCCTAGGCAGCCACGTGTACAGGCCCAAGACGGGGCCTCTGCACTACCCAACTGAGATAAATACAAGTAAATGGAATTCGAGAGGCACTGAGAATAGAAGTGCTATCCAGCCGAGTTGAGCTTGAGTATGGTTAGCTTGAACTCAATGCATGGATGATAAAGTCGAGCTCGACTTGATAGCATTTGTAATCTTGTTGAGTCTATGGGTGTTCTATGATAGAGCTCGACTTGATAGAACTTGACAAAGTGTTCTGTGAGCTCGGACCTGATACATGCGTCCAGGTAAAAAAATTCCAGTAGCTGAGTTTCTGCAACTCTGTTTCTTGCCAACCTCATACAACTCGAAGTTCAGACAATCATACAAGATACATTTGAAGCAAGTCAGTGCAGACCAATGAGCACATGATAGTTTCAAGGACAAAAGGCTCACCAAGTTCCAAGTAGCAGCTAGCAACTATCATTTATCTCACTCCAGCATCATAAAATTTGACTTAATATAGATTAAATACAAAAACCACGCATCCAGATGAAGTATTTTAATCCATCACATAAGAATTCCCTATCTTAGCATAAATGACTATCTTTTTGAGCAGCATATCACGACTTTCATAATCACCTTTAAAGCTCAAAGCCATGATGCAATGAACTAAAGAAACAAAACACTAAACATTGTTTTCATAAAAGAAGGGACACAGAACTTCGCACCATATACCTAATTGCAATCAAAAATTCATTTTCTATATTAAGTAACAGACTACTTCTCGGTACGCCTCGATGACAGCAACATCTCATGATCGACTCCTGATCACAGTAACAGCAAGATACACAAATGAGACCTGTTCTCACCCTCATGATCAATTCATCAAACCAGAAACGATAATTCAGCAAATGGAAAAGAAAAAATCAAAGAAATGGATAAAACTTAGAAGTCTTCAGTAGCTTCTTGCCCCTTATCCATCTTCAAACACTCAATAATACCTGCATGAACAAGTCCTTTACATTTTAACACAAAAAACAGCGAAATAAGAAAAACAAAATAAAATTTTACTCCTTGAAGATAGCAAGTAGACCTGATTCTATTCAAAGCAGCGCTTCATATTTTTGGAAGCTCATATTCTTTGACGGTTTCCATTTGCTGCATAGAGGAAAAGAAAGCACAAACAAACAAATAATTACACAATAAGTGCTAACTAGTAACCACTAATTTATGAACAAATAATAAAACTATAAATGTAAAACTTACTTTCTTTTTGACTCCATGTAAATTTCTACACCAGTCGCCTGCACACATTAAAACCTGAACTACCTCAGGAGCAAGTGAAGCTCGGTAGGAATCAATCACCCTACTCCCAACACTGAAGGTGGCCTCGGATGCTACAGTAATGATAGGAATGGCTAATATATCACAGGCCAGCTGAGATAATACCGGGTATGAGATCCGATTGATCCTCCACCAATCTAAGCAGTCAAATTCCTTTGGATTTGCTCCAACTGGCTGGCGAGCCTTGTCCAGGTAATCTACCAATTCAGACTTGTGGGCCTCATTGGTCTCGACTTTGACACAATACTCATCAAAATCATCCCAAATAGAAGATGATGGCCGAAGCGGATCCTGGCTAGTAGATGCACCAAACATTGAATTATTTGCACCAGCACTTGCACTGGCAGCTATAACAACATACTCTTCATAAAGGTCAAAGATGGCTTGCCGAACTTTTATAATATTCTCTTGTGCTTCATAAGGCGGGTACATCTTAGGAAAGGCAAACTCTATCACTCGCATTTTCTGCCTTGGATCCAAAATAGCAGCAATGGACATCAACAAATTGCATTCACCCCAGTATTTATCAAACTTGAGCTTCATTCTTCTAACCATTCCCCGGATGAAATCATCTTCGTCATTTTCTCGTGCATCCAACACTTTCTTCACCTTTAGAATCTCTTGGAGGAACAAGTTGCTAGTTGGATAATCACTCCTTGAAATTATGTGCATGGATGTCTAGAACTTCTCTAAAATGGTGTAGACCTTTTCTACTTTTTCCCAATCCTCAGAAGATGGACAAAAATCATAATGGGGCTCCCGGTCTTGGAAACGTGAAAAAACCTCCTTAAATTTCAAAGTACAACTCAACATTTCATATGTGGAGTTCCACCTTGTCCTACAATCAAGGAGCATTTTTTTCCCTGATATTTGAAGTTGTTCAGCAATTCCAGCAAATAGCAACGCTCTCTCATCATACCAGTTCACAAACTCCACGCTATCCCTAATGTTTTCAATGATATCCACTATCTCACTTAGGCCATCTTGAACCATAAGATTGAAGACATGAGCACAACAGGGAACATGAAACAATTTGCCTCCACCCAATAGCTTATTTGATTTGCCAAGATCATGTTTCAGAAGTCTCACAGCCGCATCACTATTGGAGGCATTGTCGTCTGAAATTGTATGAACTTTCTGCTCAATACCCCACTCCTTCACACACTTGAAGATTGAAGCCGAGATCTCAACTCCGCGTTGAGGTGGCAGAATGTGAACACAACTGAGTACCCTTTTTTTGGAGTTTCCAATTTGCATCAATCCAATGCCCAGTTAGAACCATGTACTCAATCTTTTGGTTCTTTGATTTCCACATATCAATTGTCAAGCTCACTTTCTGCACACGTCTCAACAAGTTCTTTAACTTCTTTCTTTCTAGTTCATACACCTGTACACAGTCATTTTTAACTGTCGAATGCGAGATCTTTTGCCACTTCGGCATCCCATGTTTCAACATAATGTTGAAACCCTCTTCCTCCACAATGGTGAAAGGATGCTCGTGCATTAAGATCCAATGTGCAATTGCCTCCCTCAATTTTTCCACATCAAATTTGTCCGAATGCAATGCTGGTACAGATGGACAACTATATCGATGCCTCAACATGCTAGTGGTTTGTTTGGTTTTGCCTCGGCATAGTTTTTTCCCACAGTGTAGACAGATGGCATAGTGTAACCCATCTTCTGTAAATTCTTGGAAGTCATCCCGTGACTCAAATGTTTTACATCTTTTAGGCATGTGAAATTCACTGTCACCTGCATCTTCCTCTCCTTGTTGAACATTCTGGCCCCCGGTTGCCCCTTGTTCTATTTCAATATTCACACGACCACTGTCACTTTCAGAAGCAATAACATCATTTTCTGGGTTCTCATCGCTCACAAATATTGAGCTGTCCAACATTAGTGGAGCGGATGAATCAGCTATAGACACATGTGGGCTTGAAGAAACCTCAAGTGGACCAGACATGCCTTTAATACCCAAAAAAAAAAAAATTCCAGCATTTATATGTCAGTTCATAGCCTCAATGATCTAAAAACATAGGAGTTTCTACTACATCTAAATGTGTAATATTACTTCCTCTAGATAAGCTTTGAGTTTATCAAAAGTCACTTCATTTGTAATTGCCACAGTGTACTGGGCAGTGAGGTTTTTGTAAGTTCAATTAACACACATGAACATTGTTGCATATGTACATGATTAACGTAAGCCGAAATCTTTTTCATGAGAAGAAATGCAGAATCGTCAATCTACTTTCATTTCTAACAATCCCAACATAATAAAAGAGCAATATCAAGCCTAGGATTGCCATACTTGCAATAAAACAGCAATTCACCAAACAAACAACTA